TTTTTTATTTATAATATGTCTATATATATATATATATATATATATATATATATATATAATTTTTTTAAATTTACATCCTAACAAAAGATAGGTTGTAAACTCGTGAAGTTCATCTTTAATGATGTATTTCCGGGTTCAAAGTTTGCCAACGGACATTATTTATTTATTTGAAATATGTAATTAACATTTCGAAATATATATTTTTTGTTTTAATTTATTTCATACAAAAAGATTTGTTGTAGCACATTGGATAAGCTCATCTACGGTTACTTTGTCTCCGAGGCAAAGGCGTACATTTACTTTGTCTTCTGTTTTTTCAGGATATCGATGTTTTATTGATGGTTCATGGAAGGATTCAGAGAAGTATGCAGGTTTAGGGTGGTATTGTCAACATTCTCAAGATAGATCCACGACGACGGGAGCTTCGAACACCCGTAGAAGTCTTTCTCCTCTCCATGCAGAGGTAGAGGCACTGATGTGGGCCATGAGATGTATGATCGGCCATGACTACAGAGATGTTGAGTTTCTTACAGACTGCTCAGATTTGGTGGAGATGGTGTCTTCCCCCTCCGAGGGGCCAGCTTTCTCTGTATACCTGCAAGATATAAGAAGTGATAGAGAAGAATTTTCTACTTTTTCTTTATCTCTGATACCTCGTAATGCGAATGTAAAAGTGGATAGTTTGGCACGTAATGTGCGAACTCATCCGGTCTTGGTTAAGTTTGTTAACAATTGTCCCCCCAATTTGCTTATTGAAAGCTAATCTATGAAAATTTGATGTTGACAAAAAAAAGATAAGCTCATCTACATTGATGTATTTATGGGTTCAAAGCTTGGCAACGGAAAACCTTTTTTATTTGAAGAATGATTATCTTTTTGAAATATATATATTTTGTTTTGATTTATTTCACAAAAAAGATCCGTTGTAGCACACTGCTCAAGGTCATCTACATTAATGTATTTCTGGGTTCAAATCCCGGCGACAGAAAACCTTTTTTATTTAAAGAATGTTTTTCTTTTTAAAATATATATATTTCGTTTAAATTTAATTCATACAAAAGATCAATTGTAGTACACTGGTTAAGTTCATCTACATTGATTGATGTATTTCCGGGTTCAAAGCCTGGCAACGGAAATATACCTTTGCATCGTTGCGCTTGTCGTCTTTGGAGGAGAACTCGCGTTTGCTACTTGATCTCTCACTCTTAGCATCTTAATTCTCCTCTTAACCGAAGAAAAAATGTTGTCTTTGAGTCTCCTCTTGCGTTATATAGTAAACATCTCTTTCTTCACCACGGGACTTTACATCTTAGCTCCTATCTACCAGACGCTCACGAGATCGATCAGCTCAGATTCTATATGGGCAGTCACAGTTTCACTCCTATTGCTTCACCTCTTCTTGCATGATTACTCTGGCTCCACCATTAGTAATGCTTATCTGTCAATGCTTCAGTCTTTGTTGCTTCACGTCTTCCCTCTAGGCTTCATGTCTTTGCTGTTATGCTTTTCTCAGTCCAAGTCTTCCTCTTTGCTCCTCTCGTTACTTACTGTATCAAGAAAT